GGTCCCGGGCAGGGCCCGGGCTCCCTTTGCCGCGCGCACCTGCAGCCCGGGCCGCGGAGGGGTGGCAAGCTCCGTGCTGCCGCAGCGGCCGGGCTCGGCCTCCCCGACTGGTCAGGGCCGGGCGCTGACGCTGAGGTCTGTGCGCAGGTGGCTGCAGAGCCGGAGCCGGGCCACCTCGCCGCGTCATGGCGCCCACCCTGGCCACTGCCCATCGGCGCCGCTGGTGGATGGCCTGCACCGCGGTGTTGGAAAACCTCCTCTTCTCGGCAGTCCTCCTGGGCTGGGGCTCGCTGCTCATCATGCTCAAGTCGGAGGGCTTTTACTCCTACCTGTGCACGGAGCCAGGTGAGACGGGCGCCTCGGGCTCGGGCTCGGTCGGGGAGGTTCCTGGGGCGGGAGCTTTTGGAGAGGGCGGGCGAGATGGCGGCACAGACCTGGCCCGCGATACCACCTTGCTGCGCAGCGCCCCCCAGTCAGCAAAAGGCCTATTTGCTCCTCATGCAGCTCTCCCGGGTCCATAGCACGGTCCCCGTTTTATGGATGAAAAAACTGAGACTCCCGACAGATCTTCTGACTTGCCCCAGGCCACACAGCTAGGGGCTGTCATAGCATCAGAACCCCTGAGTCCAGGGTATTCCTTCCCCCGCCCCTGGGAACACTGCTGGGCACCTCCGCCCAGGGCCTGGCACATGGCGTGCCTGGCATGAAGCATGTTGCTCCCTGACTGTAGAAAAAGGAACTCCTGACTCAGTGGCTGGGGTGTAACCAGAGAGAGAGGAAGTGGCTTGGCCTCCATCCGGTGCAAGATTCATCTAGAATTTAGATGTTTTTTAGTCAGATCATCCTGGAGCCTTTTAAGGGCTTGTCAGATACCATTTCTTGTCTGTTTTTGCTGCTTTATGATTTTCCAACGGACTTTTCCTCCCGCAAGCTGTGAGAACGTCTCAGTGGTCTTCTGTGTCCATGGGGGTGGCGGGGAGGAGAAGAGGGGGAACTTATAAAAATGGCACCAGGTCTGCCTTTCCCTTTGCCACATCGTTGGTGTTGCCAGATGCAGGCTGAGGATGCTGGTCTACAAGAAACCAAACCCCCATTCCCACCTTCATACTTCCCAGCCCTGTTTGAAGGTCCTAATGGTGGATGTCAGTAGGTTCAGCCCAACCGTGGAACTCAAGTGACTCCCAATTTCTACCCTCCTACCTGCTTCCTAGACAATCTTGATAGGAAGCATTTTCCTCTGCCCTTTTACTGTCTCCAGCCGTTCACCCTGATTGAATCAGTAATGCCTCTCCCCAGGGCCTTTGTCAGCCCGCCCCTACCGGGCTTTAGACCAGTGGTTCTCAACCTTCCTAATGCTGCGACCCTTGAATACAGTTCCTCATGTTGTGACCCAACCATAAAATTAATTTCGTTGCTACTTCGTAACTGTAATTTTGCTACTGTTATGAATCGTCACGTAAATATCTGATATGCAGGATGTATTTTCATTGTTACAAATTGAACATAATTAAAGCATAGTGATTAATCACAAAAACAATATGTCATTATATATGTGTTTTCCCATGGTCTTAGGCGACCTCTGTGAAAGGGTCGTTCGACCGCCAAAGGGGTCGCGACCCACAGGTTGAGAACCGCTTTAGACAGGGCTAGCCCAAGCTTGACCCCCTGATCACACCACCAGCGTGCTTTGTCTTCCTAGAGTTCTTACTCTGAGGGAAGAAAAAGTTTTGAACCAGCTCATGTAACTCCATGTAGAGTCCTCCCTGCTTTCCTTCTCTGATCTTCCCAGGATGTTCCTGAGTGTTCCAGTCTCTGAGGAGCGTAGCTGGAGAGGTTCAGGGCAGGAGAAAGGGAGTGTGTGTGTTGGGTGGGGGAGGGGGAGGATGCACAGGCTACTGGCAGGGCAGTGAGTGTATCATTTAGAACCTTTAGCCTTTAGCCACTCAGAAATATTTCCTGATAGCCTGAGGGTTCTTGGCAGAACTTTCCCCATGTCAGCAAGAAATCTTGGGAGATGGGAAAGTCACTCAGACCTTGTTCCTTACACAAGCTTTCTATTCTGTCCAAGAACTGTTAGATTAATGACTCTGGAAGGAACAGGTTGGAGTGTTTGGCTCCTCCTCTGCCTCCCTCTCTCCTCCCTTTTAGATCATGACCCTTCCTGCTTGCCTCCCTGGGCTCTCGCAGGCTACACAGAAAATTTAAAACATAGGAAAAACATCATCATCCACAGATGAAGCTTTTCTCGTCTTGTTCGCGCTGGAGGACTGCTATATTCAATTTTTTTTTTTTTTTACCCACTTGGTAATAGAAGGTCAGATTCTAGGGTTCTTCCCAGTTTGTCCACTGATTTAATTTACTTTATGGTATTGGCACCGTCGGGGCTGGTCACTTCATTCCTGCCTCAACCTTGGCTACTTCCTGCAAGTGGGAGGAGTCCCAGAGCTTGTGCCAGCCTGGTGCTGAGTTAGTAGTTCAGCCTTGAAGGCTTGACGGGCCCCCTCGTCGCCCAAAGTGGAGATGAAGGTGAAGGGTCAGGACGTGGGTTGAACATCAACCTCTCATCCCACGCCTTTGCTCCTGCTTCTGATTTTGGTTTCTCTGACTCTGGCAAACGTCTGACTCAGCACCCTCCTCGGGCAGGCCTGCTGATTCTACACGGCTTATCTCCCTGGCCGCTCTGTTCCTGGCTTCTGGGAGTCCAGGCCGCCTGTGCCTTTCAGGCAGGAATCCCGGTGCCGCGGACTGGGAGTGCCTGGAGGACTCAGGGACAAGGTTTCTGCTGAGGCCTAATATTCTCAAACTGGGTGGATGGCTGCCTTGCAGAGGAGCAGTTAAGCCACTTATTGAATTAGACTTGTGAAAAGGGGACCAGCCTACAGCCGATTGAGATGCAAATCTGTCAGCTTTTTGTTGCTTTTAGGACTGATGCTTTGGTGTGTCCTCTAAAGGAACTTTGCCTGAACCTGTTGAAAGGTTCTCAGAACTCTTTCTTGGGACTCCAGCCAGAATCTGGCCGCAGACACACCACCGGTCCCAGCGTGGTGAGGTGGGAGGAGGAGAGAAAGAGCCCCTTTCTCTGCGGCTGCTCAGCTCTTTTTTGCCCCGCCGGCTGGACAGTCGGGATTAATGACAGGGCCCGGGGCTAGGCATTTAGGCTTTGCTCCCCAGACCTGTCCCCCTGGTGTGGGCAGGAGACCGACTGGTTCCCAGCCTGAGAGTTCATGGGGCTTTTCCAGGACTGCGTCCTTTTGGCCTCTGGGCGGCCACTGTACCCACCCACATCTGGCCTCTTCATTTTCTCTGTCACTGGGTGGCCCACTTCGGCAGGGGCAGCTCGGGTGGTGCTACCGGAGGATGTTTATCTCTTCTTTCATCTAACCTGGGCTTTCCGTAAACATTATTTTAAAAATGTTTTTATTGGAAAAGAAAAAAAAAGTAACAAAAATGTTTTTATTGGTTATTAGAAAGAGAGGAAGGGAGAGGGATAGAGAGATAGAAACATTGATGAGAGAGGAACATCATCAATCGGCTTCGTCCTGCACGCACCCCTCCTGGGGATTGAGCCCTCTACCCGGGCATGTGCCTTGCCCAGGAATCGAACTGGCAACCTCTTGGTTCCTGGGTCGATGCTCAACTACTGAGCCACACCATCCAGGCAAGTAACATTGTTGAGGTGCTGCCCTGGAGTGCAGAGCAGGCCTGGCCCTCAGGTGCCTGCAGTCTGCCAGCTTCAAACAAGGCACCGCCCACAGACCTATATAGTTTCCAGGGGTGGTCCGTACTCCAGCGGACAGTGGGGTGCTGGGACTGAGAGTGACACTGGAGGTCTGATTCAGCTTGGGTAGAAGGCCTCTTTGGTGTTTAGGCAGAAGAGTGGAGGGTGAGGAGGGTCGAGTCAGGAGAGAAAGGGGCAAGTAGCCCCGAGGCAGACTGCGTGCTGGAGAAGAGGCGAGAAAGGACTGAGGGGGGTCAGGGAAGCTGCTGGGGAGGCTTGATTTTACTCTCAGGGCAAGAGGAAGTGAGGGAGGCAGAGGAGGGTGATCGGTTTCACCTCTTAGACTCCTGAAGTGTTGAGGACTTGCCACCTGCTGGGTGGGGCGGGGCTGTGAAGGTGAGAGACATGGCCTCTGCCTGAAGAAGTCACAGCCCAGCCATGGACACCAAGGCAGAGCCCAGGTCTGTGCTCTTGGTCTCCACAGTCACTACTCATGGTGCCGGGGGAGAGCCATACCCTTCACTGAAACAAAACAGGAAGCTGGCCCTTGTGGTTCTGAGAGGGCAGAGGGGCTGCCATCACCCAGGGAAACTGGACCAGGCCTGGTCCCCACCAGGCTGGGCCGAGGCTGCAGATGTGGGCAGGAGACATTCTCTGTGGCTTCCAGGCCCTCCCCCTTTTTTTTATTCAAATTGAATTTATTGGGGTGACATTGGTTAATAAAATCATATCGGTTTCAGGTATACAGTTCTATAAAACATCATCTGTATATTGTGTTGTGTTCACCACCCCAAGTCAAATCTCCTTTCATCACCATTTATCCCCCCTTAACCCTCTTCTACCTCCCCCCACCCCCTCTCCCTCTGGAATCACCAGGCTGTTGTCTGTGTCTATGAGGGGTTTTTTCTTCTTAATCCCTTCATCTTTTTCACCAGCCTCCAACCCCTTCCTCCCTGACAGCTGTCAGCCTGTTCTCTGTATCTGTTTTGTTTGTTAGTTTATTTTGTTCATTAGATTCCACAAATAAGTGAAATCATATGGGACTTGTCTTTCTCTGACTGGCTTATTTCTCTCAGCATAATATTCTCCAGGTTCATCCATGCTGTTGCAAAGGGTAAGATTTCCTTCTTCTTTTTTCTTTATTGATTAAGGTATTACATATGTGTTTTTACCCCCGCCACCCCCCCATTTCCTTCTTTTTTTATGGCTGAGTAATTCCATGTGTAAATGTACCACAGCTTTTTTTATCCACTCATCTA